GATCAATTTTATGTTCGTCCTCCTTTTTGGACTTTAGCTAAATGTTATTATCCTATCATTATACTCTAAAAATAATAATAAATACAAAATAACAAAGTATCATTAGATTCGTAGTATGTTTGAAAAATTAGAATTACTAGAATCCCGCGAACTATTTAGCCTAAAATTATACTTATAAAAATGCATTTACAACAATATAGTTTAACTTGCCAATAAATTAAACATATAAGTAAGAAAATTGTTTATTTTTCAAAAATAAATACACACAACCAATGTTAGTTTCCAATTCCATTTTTTCCCATCAACTACATCATTGCTTACATAGTCAAATCACATCATGCTTAGATGTAATGAATATATTAATATGTGTTTGCAATAAAGAAAAATGCTACACAATTATTTTATCTACTCACTAATTTTTTTTAATTTACAAAGTCAAAACCAATCAAGTGGTCATAATAATTAAAAAATTAATCTAAATTCATATGGACCAAACTCAATAAATGTATATCTGTCTACACGTTATAGATATAAATAAACCAAAAATATTTCAACAATTTCCGGAAGAGCGTTCAATCCATTATTTGAACCGTTCGTCCATTAAACTATTTTGAAATTATAATTCTAAGATAGTCAAAAAGATTGATGAGATATTCAAAATTAAATTATACTATTTGGTTAACAACACAATTTTATTCTGAAATAAATTTATAACCTTAATCAAACAATATAAAATTAATTCCAATCTTAAATTCCAAAGTATTCATCATGAGCCTTTGATAATTAATATACCAGCAAAAATAAGGTATCAAAATTTATATTGAATTTAAAATGATGAGTTGTTATGAAAGTGATATCCAACCCTTCCATATTTAATTAATCTACGAGACTATGATTGATAATACTAAAATGATCTAGTTGACCTACATATAGCTGACGTTAATAATTTTTATAGAAGAGTGTCACCAAATTTATATGAGATAAAATATGCAATTAGAATCAACCATGGTTAAATAAAATGTTAGAATACAGATATTTAATATATGCAGATACTGATATCGCGTAAAGAACTGAACAAAGATAACTTGTGGAACTATAATAAAAGAGATATTTAATGTAATAAAAAGCCGAAAGCAATGTGAGAGTGACGAATAAGATGGGAGAGAGGCTAAAGAAGGTATATATGTTAACAATTCATCACCAAATTAATTATTTACTTAAGATAAATCAAACAAAATCTAGAATATTCCGAATTTGTAGAGGATTGAAGGAAGATCTCTAGAATGAGTATTCTAGAAAGAATGGTATCGAAATGTTCTACAAAAGAATAGCTCAAGAAACAAACTAAGTAACCAATTAAGTAAGAAAGCAAGAGAGCAAACAAGTGTGAGTGCTTAAGTAAGGAGTGTTGCTGAAGCAAGCAACAAGTGTGATCAAGATTGTAAGACCGAAGTGGGTCCTTACTTTGATATGATAAAATTCAAGATTGTGAGAATTTCAATAGTGCTCGTCGTCCTCCAAAAAACAATGTTAAACAAGTGGTATCAAAGCCATGTGGATAAAGAAAGGTAACAACTCAAAGGAAAGGAGATCCTACAAGCTACTGTCAGAGGCTAAAAATCGCGAGGTACTAATCAATGGTGGATATCACAAGTACTCTCAATAGTGTTGAGAAGCTCAACACAAGAAACTACGGATATGGAGCACGAGAATGCAATATTAATTTCTCGGCCAGGAATTACGGGATATCATCGGTGGATCAGACACCACACCACCAACAGCTTTTGTCGATCTCTCAACGGAATATGAGAATCAGTCAATACTTCTCAAAGGTAAAATCTTTATTTGATGAAATATCAAAATTAGATCCTGAGAATGCCATCACTGAGACAAAAAATTGAGGATAATCATTGTTCATGGTCTAAGGCCAAAGTACAAAAGTATAATTACACCCGCACGGGGTGGGCCACAGAACTAATTTTATCTGAGTTGAAAAATCTATTGGCAAATAAAGAAGATTTGGAGAAGCCTTTATCAAGTCATTATAAAAGACGAAGATAACGCACTCTTCACCAAAAGACAAGATCATCAAAAAAGAGAAGCATGGAAAAGTTCATGACCAGGAAGAGAACAAAAAAATCAACATCAAAGAAGTCTGAAGGAATATTGATTGTATTGAAGTTTTTCACCTAATAAGGGAATACATGGGAGATATATAAAGGAGATATAGGATATGGATATCCAATGAATGATGTATTTGTGGAGGGGGAAATAGACTCGTATGGAAACTCATTTTCGACAAATTTGACATGACGAGATATGTAGACTTTATGAGTTTGTGGGTCAAGATAGCGATAACCCTTGGAGGTAGGATGATAGCCCAAAAAAATACAAGGACGGGATCGGGGTTGTAATTTGTGAGTAATATGAGGACGTAGCCAAGGGTAGGCAAGACACCCAAAGACGCGGAGGTTGGTATAATTGGGAAGTTCTTGGTAAAGGAGTTGATAGGGTGATTTGTTGGAGAGAGTGTGACTGGGCATTTTGTTAATAAGGTAGTTTGCGGTGGCTAGAGCTTCTACCCAAAAGGAGCTTCTACGACAACACTAAATCTGGACAACGCTTATAAAGTGTTGCCTAAAATACTTTTGGGGACGTTTTTAAAGTGTAGCCAAAGATTTTGACTTTTAGTTACACTAATATTAGCAACACTTCTAAAGTGTACTCTTTAATGGGATAACCTACACTTTATAAGTGTTGTTATAGTTGGCAACAACTATTTACATAAATGGCCACACTTTTAAAGTGTGTTATTTTTATAATTGTTAATACAACACATGAAAAATGTTGCCTTAGTGTTTTCCCAAAATTTTATATTCCCTCTAACATTTTAACATTAAAATTTGATCTCCCTCCATTTTTATTTGGCCAAAAAAATAAAACATTAAAGAAATATTAAAAATAATAAAACATTAAAACAACCAAATGGGAAACATTACAGAAACTTCAGCTGAAACTTTCACTTTCAGCTAAAGAACACATTTTCATCCAGAATTGAAGAACCCATTTGCAAGAACTGAAAAACAGGATCGAAGAACGGAAGAAATCGATTTTCGTCACAAACTCTGTCAAAGTTCAGTTGAAGAACACCATTTTCAGTCGAAGAATCAAAGAGCAACACGATTCCTCTAAAGCAAACTGAAGAAGAAGATCCTCCTCTCCGAGCTTCGTTGTTCAAGATTGGAGAGCTGAAGAAGACGATTTTCTTCAAAGATTCTTGGGTAAACTGTTGTTCCATCAGATTTTCTTTTGAAAGTTGAAAGAAAATGCTTCACAAATCAACTTGCTTCATATCTTAAAGCTTTAGGGTTGTTGGAATAGAGTTTATCAGGTAAGATATTTTATCTTCAAAAGTCTAAATTATAGCTCTAAGATTTTGATATTCTTTTGTGTCAGTCCAAAATTAAAGTTAGGGTTTTTATGACTTGTGTTATTGATACGAATTTTGTTGATTTAGGGAGTTTAGTTTGTAGTTGTATGACGTATAAATGGGCAGATTATCTTTGATAGACTAATTTTTTCTCTTGAATGTTGAATGTAGAAGCTGAAGCTAAGTCAAAAGTATCTGAAGAACTGAGTTGTAGCTAAGTTATCTTTCTTCGAAGAACTGAAGTGTTGAAGTTGGCGATACCTATAATATTTTGTCCCTAATATAGATTTCGTCAAGTGTAAGTAGCTACTCTACATGAATTTGAAAAAGTTTTAATGTATGTTTTAATGTCACTGTTTTTTTAGTCTTTTTTAGTCTTCCTGAGTTCATGATTGTGCTCGTCTTAAGCTTGGTTTGTTCCTTTGTTAACAACATTGATTCTGTCTTGTAGCTACTTGCTGGTAAATTTTTTCTTTTTTCGACTACATGTCTTGAAGTGTCTAGAAGTAATTTTGTTGTTTGTCTAGTGCATTTTTCAAGTATAGATCAGAAACATTGGTTCAATATTGCTTAGTTGTTTTGGGATCAGCTCGTACTATGAATTTGTTAAACTTGTTTTGTAGTTTGAGTTGCACTATATAGAAAATAAATCATATGCCTTAGAAATTGGAGATATAACATATATTTTTAAAGTCTAGAACGGGTGGAGAGGGAGCAGTAACTTGTGACAGTCTTTTCTGCTAACTGTTACTAGCAATAACAGAATAAAAGTAGAAGATTTGTTTTTGTGGTATGGACAAATTGTTGAGTTTTGGATATTGTTGAAAGTGAGGCTTGCTTCATCTAAGTTTTAGAAGAATTAGGAGAAGTTAGTGCAAACAAGATGGAGAGAAAGTCTTGTATGATGCTAAAGTCTGACCTATTTGATGAGTTAGATGCAACAGATGAGAAAATAGCTTGTAACTTTCCAATTTCATTACATGTCAAGTTCTTCCATATAAAATAGTAGTAAATAGAATTGTAAAGACAGTCTATGGTCAAGTGCTTTTTTCCTCACTGACTTTATGTTTCTCCTTCCTATCGACTTCAATGGTTCTGTCATGCTCCACAAAGTGGTGTTTCTTTTGAGCTTCAGGGGGAAGAGACCTATGGTGGTATCCACCAACATGTTTTCTCTGTGACTTCAGTTGTTTGATGCCTTTCCTTTTAGTCTATGTCAAACTGTGGATATTCCAGTTAGTAGTGAACAGGAATAAGCCTACTGAAGAGCTTAATATACATTTATTCTTTTGTAATTTTTGAAGAATAAACATGTTGTAATTTGTACGCTTTCAAGTTTGAAACTTGTGACCATATCTATAAGACTATAGTCTATTCATCTTCGTGATGAAACTAAATAAAAAAATAGTTTTAACATATAAGAATTAACATCAGAAAATAATGTTGTTTTCTTCTTTACATTCCTAATCATAGAGAACCTTCTCACTTTTTAACTATGTTTATCGGACTCTCCAAATATGTTATTACACCATTTCATATTCTGATAAGTGAACTAGAAATTGGACTCTCCAAATTTGAGTTTCACTAGCTAAGTCTACTTTGTCCAAAAAAGTGAACTAAAAATCATCTTTTAAGACTGCATATTCTGCTATCTCCTGTTGTTCTGTCCTCTTTAATATGAATTTTGTCATACATACATAAAGCTTATACTTCTGTTCCTTCGCATGTTTTAAACTCTTCCAGCCAAGGACCTATTTAAAAATGAGAAATTTGGGGTTGTTCTTTACACTTCTACTCCTCACGATTTTCTTGCTGAATAGTGAATTCAAAAGCTCTAATTAGATGATTCATGCTATGTTACTTACCTAGTACTGATTGGATATCTTTTTTATAGTTTGAAGGTTGATCCACGCTGATCTTACTTGCGACTTGTACCATTTCCATGGATCAGATGAATTGATTGAAAAAAATATAATGAAATATGACTTGACAAGTGTAGCATGTGCTAATGAGATAATCATCTCATTTTGGTATATTGAGGTCAGTTTATTCTCCATGTCTTTATATGTAAACATGAATATATAACTTCTTAAATGTCTTTAATTTATAGGACACATGGTAGAAATAAGGTATTAAAACTAGCATCTCTCACTTTTAGGACATGAAGTAACTCATCAAGTATGTAAAGAATACTGAATCAAAATAAGTGATACATACAACAAATATTATCCATTTCCTTTATCAAATTATGTGAAAGTTTCTGCTTTGTCACGATATATGTTAGATATGATATCCATTTCCTTTATACAGTCAATGGCATAGTGACAAAATTTGCTATAGAAAATGTGACGAAGACTAGGATAGTAATTGCAGATAGAGAGATACATATATTGGGATCGTTTTTGAACATTAGGATTGCTAGAGATTCACTTTGTAGTCTCATTATGGGGTCTTCCGCTGGTAAGGTTTATTACAAGGCCAGAGTTGTTATTGCCGAGTCGAGATGCTTTGAATTTTTTTTTTATAGGATGTTTAAGTATCAAAGTTTGATTTTTTTTAAAATTATTGGATCTTTGACCAAGTTCTGTCTTTTTCAAAAGATGAACACTTTAAGTATGGAGTGATTATATGTGTACTAGGCGATGACCATATAATTTTGGTTTCATGGTTATATCTTTGTGTTATCTTATATATGCTAATGTTATATAATTATTCGTACTTCTTATGTGGTTTGTTAGACAATAATATAATTATTTCAATAAGGTTAGCTAGGTTGCCAGTGCACATTGTGTTTTGAAGACTTGATTTTACTTTTAATAACAGACTTAAACTTTTTGATTGCTTAACTACTCATCTCAGAGCAAATTAGAATAGTTTGAGACCATTTTGTTGGTGTCTATAATTTTCAGAATTATTGTGTGGATTGTTCTGGTCTATGTTTCTTCCCTACTGTACATGCCAGATATGATCATAAGAGTCTGTGTTTCTTCCCACTTTATATGACAGATATGCTCATAAGACAACACATCTGCATAGACATATTTTTTTGTGAAGTAAGAAGGATGTCATTAATAAAGCATCAAGCAGATGCACAGATTACAAAAGAATGATTTTTCTGTGTCAAGCAAACAGTTAACAACACTGATGATAAATTCTACGTAAGAATCCACACTAAATACGGGAGAAAGATAAACACAACATAAAGAGTAATCAAACATCCTACTTTAATGGTAATCCAACTGAAACAAATTTTTCTGTGTCAAGCAAGAGTATTTTAGAATAATCCAACTGAAACAAATAAATTTAGGCCGGTAATGGAGGTTTCATATCGTCATTCTGATGCTTTCATTATTTCACTTAAAGTTATTTCTTTCTACTCTTATGCTTGACCTTTTGAATATCTTTGGACTATGACGCATAATGTTTTTATTGATTGGGTTGGGTGTATTGTAGTTCTTTAGTTTACATTCATTCATGCCGAAATCTTAATAACATGATAACATTTATAAAAAATATTACACTCACAAAACATTCACCACAAAAAGTAAGGATAAAAAAGATCTTTCTTCATGTATCACAGATACAACAGTTCAGAAATATAAAAACTTGTTGTGTCACTAATACAGTGAAATTTGGAAACTGTTTTATTACTAAGACAACAAATATAAAAATTATTGTATTTCTAATACAAAGAGACATTCATAAGTCGTTGATCGAATATCTATTATAGGATCATAAGAATGTTTGCTTGAATGTTTAAACATGGTATTAGATATTTGATACTTCTCTGATTTTGTGTGCACAAGAATGAGATTTTAAATCTTTAACTCTAAAAGCTCATAAAACTCTAAAAGTACTAAAGCTCCAAATTCAATTACAAAACTTTAACTTTTAATCATTTGAGTTATATTTATTTATTTTCTTTCTTAATTGTGTATATCCTATTAATTGTACTTATTTTTTTATTTATAGTATCATCAGCATTGAAAAACATTTGTGGAGGTTTAAAGGTTTGATTTGACATAGTGAACGCCTCATGACTAGGTAAGAAATTTTTATCATCTGATAACACATGATTCTGATAGATTACTCGTGACTTTTAAAACTTATTTGTTAACTGGTTCATGATTATTGCTGAAAGACTAAATATTGATATATTCTTCTAGGAGTTCACATATCCCATCCAAGGATTGGATGAATTTAGCAAGGTATAGCAAAGAGTATATTGATGGCATTGAATCATTTCTAGATTTTGCTTACTCTTATGGAGATCCTCATAGAGAGAAAATTCAGTGTCCATGTGCGAAATGTTGTAATATTCTTTGGAACCGAAGGAATGTAGTGTATGATCATCTAATATGCCATGGATTCATTAAAGGCTATACTAGATGGATCAATCACGGGGAATGGGATATCAAGTTGAATGTTGATGATGATATGGATTACTCGTGTGATGATATTGATGGGTTGTTGAATGATCAATTTAGAGATGTTGCACAGGCTGGAGGAGTTTATGATGGTCCAAATGAAGATGCCAAGAAATTCTATAGCTTACTTGAAGAGGCAAACCAAGAATTATATTCTGGTTGTATAGGTTTCTCTAAATTATCATTCACACTTCGCTTATATTTGTTGAAGTGTTTACATGGATGGAGCAATGAATCATTCACTTCTCTTCTAGAGTTATTAAAAGAGGCGATTCCCGAGTTGAACATTCCTCAGTCTTACAATAAAACCAAGTCTATGGTTAAGAATCTTGGTCTGGATTATGATAAAATTGATGCATGTCCAAATGATTGCATGTTGTTCAGGAATGATCATAAGGAAGACGAATTTTGTCACACTTGTGGAGCTTCACGGTATATTCAAGCTCCTAAAGTTGATAATGAGCTTGAGTCTTCAAAAAAGCAACATCGAGTTTCTGCAAAGACTTTGAGACACTTTCCATTAATTCCTAGACTCAAAAGGCTATTTATGTGCTCAAAGATGGCAGATTCGTTGAGGTGGCATGAAGAGAAACGTTCTAAAGATGGAAAGTTAAGGCATCCCGCTGATGGTCTAGCATGGAAAGACTTTGATAGGGTGCATCCAGATTTCACACTAGATTGTCGCAATGTGAGACTTGGCTTGTCAAGTGATGGATTCAATCCATTTCGAACCATGAGTATATCACATAGCACATGGCCAGTTATGTTGATGATTTATAATCTGCCGCCTTGGATGTGCATGAAATCTGAATATTCCATACTTTCTTTACTTATACCTGGACCACGATCACCTGGAAATGACATTGATATTTACTTACAACCATTGATAGACGAGTTAAAATTATTATGGGATTCTGGGGTTGAAACATATGATGCTTCCAGAAATGAAACTTTTCAAATGCGGGCAGCTCTTATGTGGACAATCAGTGATTTTCCTGCATATGCTATGTTATCTGGTTGGAGTACAAAAGGCAAGTTTGCTTGCCCTTGCTGTAACTATGGCACTAATTCTCGCTATCTTAAACATAGTCGAAAAATGTGCTATATGGATCATCGTGTTTTTCTACCGATGGATCATCCATGGAGATCAAACAAAAGATCATTCAATGGAAAAACTGAATTTAGGCCTCCTCCAGCTCCTTTAAAGGGAATTGATGTTCTTAATAGCTTACGTGATTTTGAAAATGTGTTTGGGAAAAAGAAAAAGAGATCAAATGATGGCCCATGGAAAAAAAGGTCAATTTTATTTGAATTACCTTACTGGCAGCATAACTTGTTACGTCACAACCTTGATGTAATGCACATAGAGAAGAACATAGTTGATAGCATACTTGGAACTCTTTTGGATATTTCAGGAAAAACAAAGGATCATGCAAAAGCACGGTATGATTTGAAAGATATGGGAATCAGGAAGAACCTTCATCCACAAGATACAGAAGATAGTAAGAGAACAAAGCTTACAAAGGCATGCTTCTCAATGACAAATGGAGAGAAATCCATCTTTTGTGGAGTTTTAAAGACAGCCAAGCTACCTGATGGTAGTGCCTCAAATATATCTAGGTGTGTGCACTTGGATGAAAGAAAGGTGTCTAATTATAAAACCCATGATGCTCATTTCATGTTACATTACTTGCTTCCAATACCAATTAAAAGCATTCTTCCTGATCATGTGGCTATTCCTTTGATTCGTCTAAGTTCCTTCTTCCATCGTTTGTGCCAAAAAGTAATCACATTGGAGGAACTAGATTGCTTAGAAGTAGAGATCATAGAAACAGTAAATCAGTTGGAGCGAATTTTTCCTCCTTCATTTTTTGATATCATGATTCATTTGCCTATTCATTTGGTGAATGAAGTGAGATTAGGCGGCCCTGTGCAAAATCGATGGATGTATTCCACTGAAAGAGAAATGGGTACATTCAAATCATACATTCGCAATAGGCGTTTTCCAGAAGGTTGCATAGCAGAGACACGAGTGGAAATAGATTGCATGAATTTATTCTCAAAATATCTGCATCGGGGTGTGCATACCAGATTTAATAGGAGAGCGCGAAATAATGATGAATGTGACCCAAGTGACGCAGAACCTGTGAGTTTGTTTTCTAACAAAGGAGTTCCTTTAGGAGCAAAGAAAACTGATCCAATCATTTTAGATGATAAGTCACTAAGTCAGGCACATGCATACTTATTGGGAAATTGTGACGATGTTCAAGAATATATTAGGTACCTTAATTTGAATATAGTATTCTTTTTGTATAATTAATTTTTATCTTATTTAATTTATTATTTTAACAAATAAAATAAATGTTTTGTAGAGAGCATGAGCAAGAGGTTAATAATCAGTCACGAAGATCTAAATGGAGAAAAGCAAAGAATCATTGTCAAAACTTCTCTCAATGGTTTGAAATTCGTGCTTTGCAAGAGGATGTGTCTGATTTGATAAAACAATTATCTAGAGGACCAAATTCTGTTGCGAAAAGATATTCTGGGTATCTCATAAATGGATATAGATTCCATGTTAGGCAGCGTGATACAAGGCGTAAAACACAAAATAGTGGTGTTACACTAATTGCCTCAACTACAAGCTTTGCAAGTTCAAAGGATAAAAATCCGATTGCTGCAGATTTGACTTATTATGGTAGAATAGTTGATATTGTTGAATTAAACTATTACAGCCATTTTAAGGTTGTTTTATTTAAGTGTGATTGGTATGAGGTTGAAAAAGATGTTTATGGCCTTACTTATGTCTATTTTAACAAGAGATGTTCCCAGGAAGAGCCTTTTGTGCTTGCATCTCAAGTACACCAATGCTTCTATGTGCAAGATCCATATGATCAAGATAAACATTATGTTATGAAGACTGTTCCAAGAGACCTGTTTAACATGGGTGATGAAGTTGAATCTAATCTCCCACAAAGTTATGAAAATGAGCAATCTGAACATTCGAAGGGTCCATCTATACCAAAAGATAATGGTGAAGTACTCTTAACAAGGACTGATTTACCAGAAACAATCATTGATGTGCCTGTGGAGGAATTTGTCAATCAACAACTTGAAGTCGAGTATGAAGAAGAGTTTGAAGATGAGTCTGAAAATGAGTATGAAGATGAGTTTTCAGATGCGCTTGAAGACGAGACTGAAAATGAGTATGAAGATGAGTTTGATGATGAAGTCGAGTCTGAAGAAGACACACCATGAGTTTCATATAGTGCTCACTCACTGTTTTTTTTTTGTAATATAATAGTTTTGTTGTGATGATCATATAGTGCTCACTCACTGTTTTTTTTGTAATATAATAGTTTTTTTGGTAAAACACATTAATATATCTAATCTGTAGAATGTAATATGTTGCCTTCTTATCTGATTATTATTTTATTGAGGAACCTATACTTCTAGCTGATTTTTGCTTGATTTGGTTATTTGTTATTAATATACTTTCTGGTTTCATTTTATTATCAGGCAGTTGGCATTAGAGGCATTCAACTCTGTAGTTTGAAGTTGCTTCTGATTTGGTCGTTGTCCGGAGTTTGTCGCTCCGAGAGAGGTACAACTCTTTACCTTTTATTAATTTAAGTAATAAGAAGCTCTCCAGTTTTTAAACAGTCGCGTCTGCAGTTGTTTGAAATATCTTGTTTCATATGTTATCAATTTTTTCTGTTTGTTCATGTAGTTCTTCCAATTTCAATCCGTCCTGTTTTACTGTGGTATTCAGTTACATAGTGGTATTAAGTTACACTCCTCAGTCCCTATTCATTCTGCTTTATTAGAGCCCATTTCTTTACAATATTGAGTTATGCCTTACAAAAAATTCACTAAATCCCACATGCACATTGTTAGCTAAGTCTATAAGCAGACTAATGAGTCTTATGACAAATACCAAATTTAATTAAATTGTATCAACAATTATGCTTTATATCAGTTAGTTGGTATTGCATATATGAATCCTTTATATGAGAGATCCTGACTCTGTGTATCTGATTTTATGTCTACTTCCTCTTTTAGCACCTTTACTCATTATAGTGTTGCACCTAGATTGTTGTACGTATGTGTGTTTGACTTATTATGTGATTTAAAATGTGTTCTGTAATTACATTACTGTTTTGTATAAGTTCTACAATATTATACAGTACTTTAATGTATAAATTCAGGAAATTTTGGAAGTTCTGGATATTAGAGAAATTCTGAAAATTTTAGAAACTAAAATGTTGCAATCTACTATAAGAAGCTATCCATCTGTGAACCTTATATCAAAATTACATTGCTGCTACTTCTTTCACTTAAACAATCTTATTATTTTGTAGGTTTACTTACTATTGGGAAACAAATTGAAGAGATTTAAACAAAGCAAAAACAATGAATCAATCAACAATGCTAAAGAAAAAGGGTTTAAATCCAAACAAAGGTCAAAGTCCATTGAAGAATCTGGATGTTGATATGCAATACCGATCAAGTGCTGAATTGGCCAACAAATTCAAGATTAAGAGAGAACAACTTGCAAATGAACGCAATGATAAAGCTAAGAAAGAGCAGGCACTAATATCACATAAAAGAAAGAATTTTGAGGATTTCATTCCACAACAAGGAAAGAGTAAATTGCTTGGGAACAAATCAGTCATTCAATCATCTTCAAGGTTCCATACGTCATTGAAGAAAGATGTTACTGCTTCAGCACATGCGACTGGAACAGCACTAGGTAATGGAGAGGCACGACATGATATTCTTGATCTACCGAATTGCAAACAGGTAAAGAGGAAGCCGGTCATACCAGCTAGTACTCTTGATCAGTTTCTAAAAGATCAAGGGATACACAACGATGATGAAACAAAACGTGACAACAACACAACAAGTGATGTCGAATTTATGCATACTCCTACTATTAATGAACATAACAAAGGATTGGATGATCGTGTGGAACAAGAAGAATTCAGTAAAGATAAATGTGATGTCGAAAAGGAAATTGACATTGATTGTAGTACAAAAGGTATGTTTTAAACCTTGTATGATTTAGAACTCATTATAAAAGAAATATCTTATTTCACGTCTGTTAAATCAATCTAGAAATGTCGAAGCCAAAAAAAGTTCGAGGACATACAACATGTAAGGATATTCATGCAAGAAATTTGGAAGAAAGAAAGGAGGTTACATTTGATAAAGGACAAGCGGTGGGACCAACTAATAAGATAGTTTCACAATTAAGCAACTTTATAGGAACAATTGCAAGGAATCCTAGATTCATCAGCTTGATGTACACTAGTTGGCATGTGGTGCCAAAGGATACTAAAAAGCGCATGTGGGAATACGTCAATGTAAGAACTACCACTCATGAGAATTCATATTTTTTTTACTTACTGAAACTAAATATATTTTATTTTGCATAGTCCAAATTTCTACTTCCAGTAGAAGGAAAGAAGTGGGTGATGACTGGTCTTCGTGATGCTTGGAGGCGACACAAGCAAAAAATTAAAAAGAATTTTTTTGATAAAGACAGTACCCTTGAGGATATGCTAGCAAAATGTCCTGATGGCATTCCACATCATCAATTCCGCCAGTTGATCGAGTATTGGAAACACCCAACTGTTCAAGTAAGGTTAAAATGGTGCATTTCCACTCATCGACTAATTCTGTGTCATATCTTTTCTTTTTATAGATATCAATTCAATTATCTCTTTGTTTTTAACAATAGGCTATATGCGAGATGAATTCTCAAAACAGGAAAAAACAAAAGTGGAGGCATCGAATGGGACCTATTAATTTTGCTAGAGTACGCGTGGCATTGGTAATACTTAGCTGACATTTCATACAAAATTTGATTTTCATTTTTTTGTACTTTATAAGAACTTACTGATTTTTTAAAATTTCTTTTGATATAATCTATAGCGTGCAGCCAAAGACAACAACGAAGAACCATCAAAGCCTGAAATATTTATTGCAACTCGTACCAAGACGGGAAAGGAAATCCAGGCTGATACCCAAGTTGCAATAGTAAGTTTTTCAAAGAGGATTATTAGTGAACTTTATTCAGACTTAACATTTATATCGTGGGGAGTTTGACTACATTAAATTTTAATCATGTATGCCTTCTTCTTCTTCTTCTTGTGCAAGTTCAAGGAGATATCAATTATTTGTCGACATTGTTTAATTATTTTTTACGAAAAGTTTTCATAATGTTTTAATGGTTGATACTACTTACAATTCACTATGGATGCCAATTTTATTCAATAGGCTGAACTTCAAAGTCGCCAAAATTCTGGGGAAACAGCTGATGATGCATTTAGGGCAGTGTTTGGAAAGGAGCAGCCTGGTCGAGTTAGGTGCTATGGTAGATCAGTGACAACAAGTTCTTTGAAGAAAGATGAGGAAATTAACAATCTAAAACAAAAGCATGCCGATGAAATCACTTCTCTAAAGGAAGAATTGAGAGAAGAAATGCGACATTTATTCACTCAATTGCTGCAAAAGAACCCTGGATTGAATTTTCAAGATATACCCGGGTGTGTTGGATCTAACCTTGCTTCACCTATTGATGCAAGTAGTGCACAAGCTGTAAAAGGCACAAATCTTCCATATTCTTCGGGGTCAGCTCAAGATTCGGTTCATCAAAAGGTATTTTATATTTCAAATTCTCTATTAATAGTGTCAATATTGTTTTTCTTCTAGTTTAGTTGGTGTTATTGGTAATGAAATTCAAAACTTATTTTTACTTGTCTAAGTTTAGTCCACCTATTTATAACTGTTAAGAATGTTTTTGTTTTTGGTTTAAGCATTCGAATCGTTAGTTGAATAATTGTTCTATTAGTATTGTGCAATTGAGGAGTCTGTGGCTAACACATTATGTTTTATGGCATATTCCAATGGTGTTCAATTAAAAAAATGATGACACTATTTTCTACCTTTAGCTTCTGAATCTAGTTCATTGTAAAGGCTATTGTAGCTGGTCTTTTAATGGTCTGTCTGCACCTTTATGAAGCTATTGCTATTTTATTCATATTGGTGTCTGTTAGCTAGGTGGTTGTGGCTGTTAGTATTAATGTGGTGTAGCCTGTGATCTTGTGGATAGATTTATTATGTTTGATAGATCCTTAATGGTTACTTGTTAAACTACAGACAAGGCAGAGAAAATTGGAGAGGAAAATCTGCAGGGGTTTTTCTTGCTACTGGTCCTCTATTTTTTGTTCATTGTCTGTTAAATCTTTAACTTGTTCAAGATTTTGTTTGTGTCTTTTTATAGCATTCCTTCTCTTCTTACTAAACATTTCTCTTGTCTGTATTTTTTGTTCACTGTCTGATGATGAACCTTGCCCTAGAGATACAGTCTGATGATGTTTGTGTCTTTTTTGTATGCACTAGAGATGCAGTCTGATGATGAACCTTGGCCTATGCTGCAGTTCTTTGAAAATATCATGTTCATGTTGTTATGTATTGATTTTTGTGGACACTTCTAGAGTATGTTATGAACCTTGTTTCTAGTGGTCATCACTGGTTTGTTTGAACTACTTGTGTGTAATTTTTACATTGAAGTTTACAACAGAAGACTGCACAAATTAAACTTTTGGAGTTTAATTTTTGAGAGCCAACAACAGAAGACTGCACAAATGTTGTAGTCCTTATAATGTGTAATTTTTACATTGAAATTGTATTTAGATTTGGATTGGTTGTCTTGCAGTGAATTCTCTCTGATTATGCACTTCCACAATTAATTCACAAACTTATAATTTTATTTTAAATGTGCAGGAAAATGTAGGTAACTGAATTTGAATTTGGCCAGAAGTAAACTCGATCCATTGTGGCAAAAGATGAAGAAATTTTTGTATTGTTGTCATATACGTTTGAATGACACTTTTGGGTTTTTGGAACTTGTTGATATTAGAGATCTTTAAGCAATCACTTTCTATGTTTTGGTTGTACATGAAATATTTCTCGAAGTTTATTTGAAATATCTCTTCAATTTAATGCTTAATTAGTTCATTTTGTGTTTTAGGTCACTTGTATGTATGTAAATATATTATATATATTTATGCTACATGTAGGCTTATAAATGTTTAAGTTACACTTTGTAAGTGTTGCTCTAGGTAGATATAAAGTTACACTTTGTAAGTGTTGCTGTAGGTGAGATATAAAATCAACACTTTATAAGTGTTGCTATAGATGAGATATAAAGTTACAATTAATAAGTGTTGCTATAGATGACATATAAAGTAACACCTTATAAGTGTTGCAATACATGAGATATAAAGTTACACTTTATAAATGTTGCAATAGATGACCAATAAAAGGCAACACTTTTTAAGTGTGACCAATTAATCTAAAAAGGCAACGCTTTTAAGTGTAGTCTAACAAAAAATAGGTGTTGCTAATGCACGTCTTCAAAGCGTGCCTTTATACCTATTTGGCTACGCTTTATAAGTGTTGCCAAAGGTGGCAACATTTAAAAAGTGTTGCCTAATGTCAAAGGTTACTCTTCTTTTGGGCAGCCCCTAAAAAGTGTTGCTGAATGTCCAAAAGTGTAGTCTTTTATCAAGGGCCACACTTTATGCTAGTTTAGGCTACACTTACGTGGTGTTGCTGTAGGCCGAAAATGGTGTAGTGTAGGTTTCCTTCTCATGCGTGATATTGTCCAGCCATTTTCAAGTTGCATGTTGCCACATGTCACACTTCCATTCGTCGATTCTCAATTAGCATATTGCAGTTTGTGCCCTTCATATATTATATATTATTACATTAAATTTCAAAGTTGTCTGCTTGATTTCGTTCTTCAACTTGCCATCTTTAATTTGTTTTAACTCCAACTTTTCAACTTTAAACCAATTTAATCTTACAAATAAAATACACTATTAAGCACAATCCATAAAACTAACAGATATAAATAATAAATGTGAGGCAAATAATGATTTAAAATATGTATTTTGACATCACATCTATAAGGAAACAACTGCGTGAATTTCACAAGGACATTGATCGAGTCAATGAACTATTAGTCGTGCACGCGAGAAAACAAAACTCGTTTGTCCATGTAGCATCAATGTAATGTGGTCGTCACATCAATAGGTGGCAGAGACTGTCATGACCCGCAACCTTGCCAAACTGATTTCACATTCGGATAGGGGCAAGAAGATTCTAGAGTTAAAACAATAGGGGCGGATCTATGAGTTCCCGTGGGGGTGTCACGACACCCACTGATCTCGAAAAAAACTTTGTTATATATATGTATAAATGTTTAAGAAAAGGAATATAAATTGTCTTTATCACCCACTAAATAAAATGGTTATTAGTTCAATTGGCAAAATAGGTAATCTACGACACGGGCATTACCGGTTCGAACCTCGGTGGCAACATTAATTTTTTGAAGTATATTCTTTCTTTCTTCTTTTTTTTCCTTCTGTTTTGTCTTTTTATTTTATTAATGTGTTGAGTCCCCCCCCCCCCCCCCCCGGGCCCCTTTATTCATTCTTACTTATTTACAAATAATCTTTGTTAATTTAAATTGATTTCTTTTCACCCTAATTAATTTTGGAGTTTTTTTACTTTCTCTTTCACTAATTATTAAACTCTTGATATGAGTATCGCGTGTTTATACTTTATCAATTAAATTATGAACGTGACATAAATATTATTAAGAATGTATTTAAATAGTAATTTAAAAAAAATATAAATTTTAAAAATGATGAATATTATTATTAGAGTTTTTTTTAATTTGAAATCGATCTTCACAACCATTCTTCCTAAGTAAGGTGACTAGATTGAAATAAAATTTGTATTCTCTTTTATTATATTTTGCACAACATGTCAAGTCAATGAAATATGAATATATTGAGTTAACACTATTAGATAGTTCACTTGTTTATACTTTATCAATTAAATTATGAATATGACATAAATATTATTAAGAATATATTTAAACAGTAATTTTAAAAAACATAAATTTTAAAAATGATGAATATTATTATTAGAGTTCATTTAATTTGAATTCGATCTTCACCAACATTCTTGCTAAGTAAGATGACTAGAATGAAACTAAAATTGGTATTCTCTTTTGTTATATTTTGCAACAACACATCAAGTCAATGAAATATGAATATATGGAGTTAACACTATTAGATAGTTTATATAAGCTCAAATTTGAGTGTAAAAAATTCTTTTTTCCTCAGAGTTTCAGCGATAAGGTCACTAATTTCTAAAAAGAAATAAAAATTAAATTGTTACGTCTTAGTCTAATCTCTTAAAATCCAAAAGAAAAAATTACTAACATGTTTGATCGATTTTCTTATAAAAGATCGAAAAAAGATAAATAACTTGATTGTAACTCAAAATTAAAGCAACCGACCCGCTTATCTTACTGGAATGATGTGACATCCAGAACCTTTAAATCCTAGATCGGTCTCTGCTCATATCCCATTAATCAATTAATTAATACTACAAGTTGGCATTAGATTAGTACAATATATTTTTTCCTTTGTTGATACTTTATAGTTTGATGATTACTTTTTATATAAAAAAAATTATTTGTGTAATTTTAACTTGATACGATAAAAGTTGAAATTGATTATGAGATCAAATTTATGTTCGTCCTCCTTTTTGGACTTTAGCTAAATGTTATTATCCTATCATTATACTCTAAAAATAATAATAAATACAAAATAACAAAGTATCATTAGATTCGTAGTATGTTTGAAAAATTAGAATTACTAGAATCCCGCGAACTATTTAGCCTAAAATTATACTTATAAAAATGCATTTACAACAATATAGTTTAACTTGCCAATAAATTAAACATATAAGTAAGAAAATTGTTTATTTTTCAAAAATAAATACACACAACCAATGTTAGTTTCCAATTCCATTTTTTCCCATCAACTACATCATTGCTTACATAGTCAAATCACATCATGCTTAGATGTAATGAATATATTAATATGTGTTTGCAATAAAGAAAAATGCTACACAATTATTTTATCTACTCACTAATTTTTTTTAATTTACAAAGTCAAAACCAATCAAGTGGTCATAATAATTAAAAAATTAATCTAAATTCATATGGACCAAACTCAATAAATGTATATCTGTCTACACGTTATAGATATAAATAAACCAAAAATATTTCAACAATTTCCGGAAGAGCGTTCAATCCATTATTTGAACCGTTCGTCCATTAAACTATTTTGAAATTATAATTCTAAGATAGTCAAAAAGATTGATGAGATATTCAAAATTAAATTATACTATTTGGTTAACAACACAATTTTATTCTGAAATAAATTTATAACCTTAATCAAACAATATAAAATTAATTCCAATCTTAAATTCCAAAGTATTCATCATGAGCCTTTGATAATTAATATACCAGCAAAAATAAGGTATCAAAATTTATATTGAATTTAAAATGATGAGTTGTTATGAAAGTGATATCCAACCCTTCCATATTTAATTAATCTACGAGACTATGATTGATAATACTAAAATGATCTAGTTGACCTACATATAGCTGACGTTAATAATTTTTATAGAAGAGTGTCACCAAATTTATATGAGATAAAATATGCAATTAGAATCAACCATGGTTAAATAAAATGTTAGAATACAGATATTTAATATATGCAGATACTGATATCGCGTAAAGAACTGAACAAAGATAACTTGTGGAACTATAATAAAAGAGATATTTAATGTAATAAAAAGCCGAAAGCAATGTGAGAGTGACGAATAAGATGGGAGAGAGGCTAAAGAAGGTATATATGTTAACAATTCATCACCAAATTAATTATTTACTTAAGATAAATCAAACAAAATCTAGAATATTCCGAATTTGTAGAGGATTGAAGGAAGATCTCTAGAATGAGTATTCTAGAAAGAATGGTATCGAAATGTTCTACAAAAGAATAGCTCAAGAAACAAACTAAGTAACCAATTAAGTAAGAAAGCAAGAGAGCAAACAAGTGTGAGTGCTTAAGTAAGGAGTGTTGCTGAAGCAAGCAACAAGTGTGATCAAGATTGTAAGACCGAAGTGGGTCCTTACTTTGATATGATAAAATTCAAGATTGTGAGAATTTCAATAGTGCTCGTCGTCCTCCAAAAAACAATGTTAAACAAGTGGTATCAAAGCCATGTGGATAAAGAAAGGTAACAACTCAAAGGAAAGGAGATCCTACAAGCTACTGTCAGAGGCTAAAAATCGCGAGGTACTAATCAATGGTGGATATCACAAGTACTCTCAATAGTGTTGAGAAGCTCAACACAAGAAACCACGGATATGGAGCACGATAATGCAATATTAATTTCTCGGCCAGGAATTACGGGATATCATCGGTGGATCAGACACCACACCACCAACAGCTTTTGTCGATCTCTCAACGGAATATGAGAATCAGTCAATACTTCTCAAAGGTAAAATCTTTATTTGATGAAATATCAAAATTAGATCCTGAGAATGCCATCACTGAGACAAAAAATTGAGGATAATCATTGTTCATGGTCTAAGGCCAAAGTACAAAAGTATAATTACACCCGCACGGGGTGGGCCACAGAACTAATTTTATCTGAGTTGAAAAATCTATTGGCAAATAAAGAAGATTTGGAGAAGCCTTTATCAAGTCATTATAAAAGACGAAGATAACGCACTCTTCACCAAAAGACAAGATCATCAAAAAAGAGAAGCATGGAAAAGTTCATGACCAGGAAGAGAACAAAAAAATCAACATCAAAGAAGTCTGAAGGAATATTGATTGTATTGAAGTTTTTCACCTAATAAGGGAATACATGGGAGATATATAAAGGAGATATAGGATATGGATATCCAATGAATGATGTATTTGTGGAGGGGGAAATAGACTCGTATGGAAACTCATTTTCGACAAATTTGACATGACGAGATATGTAGACTTTATGAGTTTGTGGGTCAAGATAGCGATAACCCTTGGAGGTAGGATGATAGCCC